ATTTTCCTCACACTGTTCCTCCAGCAGCCATTGCTGAAGACCAGAACTTTTAAATTAGGCTCTTGCCGTATTTAAGAGCCATTCCTATCGCATGCGCATCACCCGCTGAGCCAGAGAGACATCCTGCCGCGGGGCGGCGCAGTCAGTGTTTCCCTCTGATGCAGAGTGTGAGGGCCGAGCGATGCCACAGACCTCATCCAAACTTTTTTTCCCCCTTATAGATGAAACCCAGAGATTAATAAGGAATTTGTCCAGGGCAGAGTTGGGAAAAACCCCAGCTTTCTGACTCAGTCTGGTGGCGTTTGCTCAACACGATGCCGCTGCCCACAGATGAGCAAATAAAAGTTCAGGAAAAGGAACACATGTGTTCCTGGTAGGAATGCACATCTGTACTGTGTGCATGTGCATGTGTGTGCATGTGTGTTCCTATGCATGTGTGTGTGTTCATGTGTGTGCCTGTGTTTGTGTGCGTGCCTGTGCATGTACATGTGTGTGCCTGTGCGTGTGTGCTTATGCATGTACATGTGTGTGCCTATGCATGTGCCCTTACATGTATGTGGATGTGCATGTGTGCATGTGTGTGCCTGTGCATGTGCGTGTATGGCTGTGCATGTGTGTGCCTGTGCATATGCATGTATGTGCATGTGCATGTGTGCTTGTGCATGTGGGTGTGTGCATGTGTGTGTGTGCATGTGTGTGCCTGTGCATGTGCATGTGTGTGCGCATGTGCATGTGTGCGCATGTGCATGTGTGTGCATGTGTGTGTGAGAGGGAGGGGGAGGGAGGAAGTGGGTACAACAAAAGTCTTCTGACTAGTCATCCATTTCTTTTAAACCACTGCTAAACCTACTGGACAAGGTGCTTATTTCCGAAGTTCTGTAACGTAGTTGTGCCAGGACTTAGCTGAACCGCATCCTCTGTCAATGTGCACACACGTGGAGGTAGAATACATTTGCATGCACCTGCGATTATCACTCAAAATATCTGGAAACTTAGCTTGCAGGAGAGGTATTCAAGTGAAAAGAGAAGAGAGCTCAGTAGCCACCTATTTATAATACTTTTTAAATAGTAAGACTTATTATAAGGATCACACATATTAGCTTGCTGTTTCCCCAATCTGGCCTCACAGCACTTTCTCTCATAACCTTTCACCTGTGTTTCATCTCGAGCTGCCACACGGCTACCCATTGTTATTGAATCGCAAACTTCCTACATGGCTTTTCACTTCAGTAGACCAGCTGTGAGGCTGCAGGGTTTTGGAAGAATCGCTATAGAATCTGACCGCGAGTTCAACTGCCAGACGCTGTATTATTTTTCAAAATATTGACCGTATCTTTTGCTAGGGCTCGATACGTAGTAGTTAGGGAGTAAATGTTACTCCTCTATTTAAAGTTCTTAGTGTTTCAGAATGAAGCTGATACTTATACTGTCATTTAAGGGCCAGCTGCCTTTTTAAGCACTACCTGGGAACAGTTAGGCCCTGAGTCACAGAGAACTGTCTGGAGATTCTCAAACAATCCCCACTCCTCCCTGCCTGTTTGCCTTTGCAAATGCTCTACCCAAAGGCTAGAATGAAATCTTTTTTTCTCTACTCTCCCAACTTCTATTTTGAAACATTAGAAAACTCTCTAAGGAATTTTCTAGAATCTCCCCAGGCTGGGTTAAGTTTTCCTCAACTCTCCTGCTTCAGCACAATTCATAATTGCAAGGCAGTGGAAACAGCCCGAGTGCCCATCAATCCAAGAATGGATTAATAAAATGTGGTATATGTATACCATGGAGTACTATTCAGCTCTAAGAAACAATGGTGACATAGCACATCTTATATTTTCCTGGTTAGAGCTGGAACCCATACTACTAAGTGAAGTATCCCAAGAATGGAAAAACAAGCACCACACGTACTCTCCAGCAAACTGGTATTAACTGAGCAGCACCTAAGTGGACACATAGGTACTACAGTAATAGGGTATTGGGCAGGGGGTGGGGGGCGGGTGTATACATACATAATGAGTGAGATGTGCACCATCTAGGGGATGATCATGATGGAGACTCAGACTTGTCGGGGGAGGGGGGAAATGGGCATTTATTGAAACCTTAAAATCTGTACCCCCATAATATGCTGAAATAAAAAAAAAACCTCTCCTGCTTCTCACCAAACGCACACACACGGACACACAGACACGCAGTCTCTCCCTTATGTCCCCATCGTGTCCTGTTTAAACGCCTGTCGTGTATCTCACAGTATCATTCGTTCATTTGCATTTTAAAACATTTTCTGGCTTCTCTGACAAGGAGAACAAGGATGCATTCTGGCCATGTTGGCCCACACACATGGGTGCTAAAATCATATTTTTGTTGCATGAATGAATAAGGTACAAACGCTTCTTTCTCTCTGCAGTTCCCAGCACGTGAGGAAAAGGGCTAACTAAATCCTCTGCCGAGCTGGGAACCCCCCCCCCCCGACGTGGAGTATAGAAGAGTCGGTGTGGCCGGGAAGGTGACTCACACCTGTAATCCCAACACTGCGGGAGGCTGAGGCGGGAGGATCACTTGAGGTCAGGCGTTCGAGAAGGGTCAATGAGGTACTCTGCAAGAGCACACAATTCCCGGACCACGGCTTGCTTCTCTGTTTATCGGCAGGTGAGGCTTTCCCCGGAGGTATCAGTTGCACCTTCTGATTACCCTCTGACCGTGGGAAGAACACGTAGTCAAACATATAGCCTGGACCCCTTCCTCAGGAACTCCTGTCTGCTAGACAGGCCCTCTGTTGTGGCTGACCAGGCAATGAAGGAGTGAAGGAAGTAATGAATCCTGGCTTCCAGGCTTCCCAGTGTGCGAAGCAAGACCACCGTCCTGACCGACTGGAAGAACACCTAGGTGTGGGCTTCGGCTCCCAGGCGTTGATACGAGTGTTATTTTAACCGCAGGCTTCAAAGACTGCATCTAAGCAAAACCTCGATACGGTTAAAATTGGTAAACTGTGCATCTTTCCCCATGTTGTACAAATGCCAGATGAATAGACACAGATTAGGTAAAAGTGAATTCTCGGAGGCCATACCTCCTTGTCTTCCTGACTGACCAGCGTAGAAGTAATTGTCGCTTTAAAGGAAAAAAGAAGCTTGGTTTCTCCTAGAGAAGCAGTCTAGCCTGGTGGCTAGGGACGAAGGCCAGGCTTTCTGGACTTAATTCCTAGACTCAGCTGTGTGTCATTGGCCAAGTTACCGTAGCTCTCTGTGCTTTAGTTTCATTACTACATATGCACGTATGTACACAGACACACACAAATGTATGCATTTGCTCTTGTATGTTATAGTATTAAGTGATTTAATACACACAAAAAAAACACTTAGAAAATTGACCAATAATGAACACTCAATGAAAGTCCGTTGTTATTCTGATATAAATATCATTAATGAGCCATTTCACCTTTGCTGCTTTTATTTCTTCTATTGCAGTGAGGTGTCTTGAGGTATATCTGGCTACCTCTTGCCATAGATGCAGCTCTGAACTGAACTAATCCTCCCTGTTCTAATGATGTTGGTTTTCACCTCACATTAAATAATGTGTGTATTATAAAGCTAAAAGTCATCCTGTGCAATCACACTGACTCCAATTTTTGTTCTCTGGAAGGAGAAAGAGAGCACGTCTGTAATAATCTACAGGAAGAGTTTTTTTTATTCTCCACACTGCTGTGGATTGTATACAAATTGCTTTTTAATTTGCATGTTATGGTCTTGAAATCAGAAAATAATGTGATATCCTGCAAGAAAACCATTTAATATATGGCAATGTGAGGACAGGGTAAGACACGCATTGTGCTCTATTGAAAACAAAGGTGGCAGAGGGGCTAGTTAAGAGTATGTGTAATAAATCCAACCGTTGAACTATGTCCGGCATCCAAGATATTATTACAATCTCTGAATAAAAAAAATAACTTGAAGTTTCTCAGTGACAGGCCCTACTGGGAGCAGCAGGGAGCTTGTTTCTAGCACACGCAGAGAACGTTAATCCGACTCGGTTCACGGGGAAGGGAAAAAGGTACCATGGAGCAGAGGGAGGGCCGTGGCATCACCACTGACCAAACCTCCCACCTGTCAAAACCCTTCTTTTGTTCTTAACTTTATTTGGGGTCAAGATTATCTTTGAAAATTTGGTGAAGATTATGAATACTCTTCCCAGAAAAATGCACACGCATGCACACACACACACACACACACACACACCTCTGCATAGTAACCATGATGCTCATGGATGTTCTCCTGGAAAGAACTTCTCTAATGGAGTGATTTTCATTATCTTCAGTGAATGAGCCAATATTTGAAAATAGATTTTTACCACTTGATTTCCTTTTTTTAAAATTTAGTACCTGACACCCTGACTCATAACCCTACTAAAAGATTCTAGATATTTCACTCGTTTTGTTTCACTGTGATCAGCATTTTGAAAAAAAAAATAAACCTTTGTAGGTGTTTCTTAAATACTTAATTTCTGGGGGAATTTTTGTTTCTTTTGGTTGGGAAAGCACAGCAGACATGTTTGCATGCCTTCCTAGAAATATTTTATTATAATTTTATGAGGAAATAAGCAAAGACATGGCAATGTTATACCTATATTTGTTTATATTAAATAGATGGCGATGACCCACAGAATCTTGACCATGATTCAGACTCTAAACCCAAAATATGTACATAGCTATTGTAATCACAGAGGAAAAAATTTTTAAATATGAAGAAAAAGCCTTTTAAAACTTGCCCTTAATGGGTACATAAACAGTAATATTGTTGAGTCAATCTATGAATTTCTGTATGTATCTCTTATATTTTAAGATTGGGACAGAGAAACTTCCCAGATATTTGATATAAGAATTTGTTTGGAAAAAGTTTTGTAATTAATATAGAACTACACTAAAAATACCCTGTTTTATTAGGAAAGTATATAATAATCAAAATTGACCATCTTATTTTTTCCTTTGAGACCAAACATCACAGACCAAGACCAGCTAAGTTTATAATAATTTATTATAGTTGCATATCACTTGCCATGTATAATAAATTATAGAAACCATAGCATCTTTATAAACTATTTGGTATATCATATTCACTTCCTAATGCTTACTGCAGCAACTGTAAGAAATTTACTTAGACCATGTTTTAGCATTAGTCAGAAGATTAAAAAAAAATTATAGTTTTTTCACAGTACTTTGGATTTATAAAGGACCTCATTATTTTAACTTTTGTGCAACCTGTTTGAAATACATAAAACCCTTTACAAACCAAAAGGTGGCGTATGGTTTTACTGAGCTGCTGCAGTTATCTTAAATTTGTACTTAACACCCATGTGGTGCACTTTTCCAGGCATTGTAATAAATGCAAATAAATAATCAATTACTGATCTCTAAAACTCTATACCAATAGACAACATGGAGGCTTGGCAACATTTTGAACATTCAGATAAAAAAAAAAAATTCAGTAAACAATGTATGCATGATATCCCTTCTCCCTGTTCTCCCTCTTCCTCCCCTCTCCCCCTACCCAGTTTGGTAAAAAAAAAAAAAGAGTTCAGTTTAAATTTAAGTCCTAGGGCCTGACAATGACCCTGGATGCATGTCATCTCCAGCCATCTGTTCTCTTCATTTCTCCTTACGTCTGTCCAGACTCTTGTATCAGCATCAGTCCTTCCCTGCGGGGGAGAGTTCCCAAATCCTTGCTGAAGCCCTTTGCTCTCCACTGGAACAGCTCGGGCATGACACCGGCTGGGGTCTGTGTCACGAGTCGTGGGGCTCCCGTCCCCCTCCGGACTCGGGAGCCCCCGACAGAAGAGACACTTGCAAGGCGGCAGCAAACGCCGCACCTGCTGGAGTCGCACAAACTCACTTGGTCCTTGGATGTCCCTTCTCGGATAACGTCCTTATCCAGGCTCTGGTCCTCAGTGAACTTTGATGGAGTATTTCCGCAGTTTCAGAAACTGGAAAAGCTTGTCTTTTGTCCTCTTCTTCAGGGCCATCAAGGCTCGCGTTTTCTCCTCCAAGTCTTGATCTATGGCGAAAATGATCTTGGCTCTCTCCTCCGCTTTCTTGTCTCCGGAGTTTCTGAAGAGCCTCTGGAGAGACTCCTGGTCTATGTTCTCGAAGATGTTGCCCGCGGCTTTCTTGCGAGAAGCCGTGTCGAAGTGGTAGCCGTGGACGGACGGGCTGACCCGCAGCGACGTGGACATGGTGCTGGCTGGGCGGCCTCGCTTTGCTCTCATCGATGTGGGATCTTCCGGAATGCAGCTCCGGGCTCTCCAGAGAGTGTGTGGCGGAGTCATTCCGGGACTGCTATTTAAAGTGTGAACAAAAGCTCCAAGGCTCAGATTACACTGGTGACATCAGAGTGATCTCAGGGAAGAATAAGCACAGGCGGGTTTAACAGTTGAGTTGCCAATGTCCTGCTCTTGTGTGAAATGTTACCGAAAGCTGTGTTCAGGGAAGGGGCCGGTCTCCGGCACCCCTTTTTGCTTCATGTTGTGGCAATGGTATTACACGGACGTGGGCCCTTCTTTAAGATATAGCCGAGCACAGGAAGCTGCAAAGGCAAGACACAAGCAAGCTCAGACTTTGCAAACAACAGTCGGCACAGGGGCTTCTGCTAACCACAGGCAAAAGTTTTAATTCCCAGAGAAGTTGCTAAAGTGCACGCCAGACCCTTGGCAGCCTGCCTGGGTGCCCTTTGGACGTCCCCGCCGCAGGCAACCCCCGCTCTACCGGGAGGAAGCTGAACAGTCAGGGACAACCGCTGGGGGTCTGGCGGCCTGGGGAAGGGAATTATGCCCACAAAATGCTGGGCGTGACCCAACCCGGAACCAGGGTTTTTCAGAGACCTTACGCAAAGGCTGGTCTGCAATCACTGAATCAAACTGTAATTTGATAACAGTAATAACAATAGACAGTATCTATCTCCTTAGGCTTGTGTATATGCCAATAACAGTGGCGATGGAAAAGTGGGGAGGAAAAGTTAATCAGGCACTTCATGTACCTGATTATGTACATAGTACTGGAATGGAATTAGTTGACCTTTTGTTTCAAAATTTATTTTGGCATCACCCAGGCGTAGAGCAATACCTTCTTTGGCAGAATTTAAATTTGTTCTTCCTGACTTCCACAACATTCCAGCCAGCCAGTGTCCCCACCGGTGTATGGAGTTGTCATACGCTCAATGTCGGCTTCAAAGGGTCCCAGAGTGTTCTCTTCAGGTGACCACATCTGGCCCACTTTCTAGCCACTTTCTAACAAATCCGAACTGGTCCTCATTTTCTTACCAGCTGGTTAAGTCAGAGCTAGAAAAGGCACCAAAAGGAGACATGGTAGGGACCTCACTAGGAAACTGAGTTACGGGCTCTTTTATATATTCATTCATTCATTTGTCCACTCCTTATTCAAATCAGTATTTATTACAGGCATATTATTAGCCAGAGCCTTCCTGGTCATTGGAAATACAGCAGTAAACCAAACCAAAGAATGAAGTTTATGTTCTACTACTGGGAGGCACATAATAGAGACATGTACATTTGTAATGTGCACGATTTCAGAAGGTGATGCATTGCAGGGGAGGCTTGAGACTTTCCTAGGATATTCAGGTACAGGTTTCTAAAATGTGACACAGAAGGTGGGGGAGGGGCGAGCTGTGCAGACATCTGCAGGAAGGGTATTCAGGCAGAGGGAACAGCAAGTGCAGAGGCCTGGAGACAAGAGCATGCACAGATGGCAGGAAGCACAGCCAGGGACCAGTGTGGTCGCAGCAGAGGGGACCCAGCAGGACCGGAGCAGGTGACGCCGGGGAGGGAAGGCAGTGAGGGGGAGAGGGCAGGGCCGGGCTGTGCACCCTCCCAGCCTCGGCTGTGGATTCGGCCTTTACTCTGGGTGAGATTCTAATTCTAATTCAGCCTTTGCAGAATTAGAAGCAAGGAAATGGCATGATTTTACCTAGCAATTTTAAAAGATAGTGATCACTTCTGAGTCAAGAATGGATTTCGGGGAGACAAGCAGAGAGTGGGAAGACTAGTTAGGGGACTCTGGGCATAACCCAGGCAGGCGACGATGACACAGGCTTCCGCTTAGGGAAGCCGCCGTGAGGGGCGAGAACTGACCCGGCTCTGGGCGTGTTGGGCAGGGAAAGCCCAGAGGATGGTGGAAGGGTCGGGCTCGAGGGCCAGGGCGACCCCTTGTGACCACGGCCCCGCTTCCATGAAAGACGCTTCTAGCCGAGCTGGTGTTCGGCTCGCCGGCCACGCGGCTGATGTACGTCCTGGTTTTCCCGGGGAAGATCCCCCTTGTCCTGTTGTCTACACCTGTGGATTTGCCGGCGGATACAGCACAACTTTGCGGCAGTCTATTTTTCTCGTTAACGAAAAGAATGATTATGGCAACAGGGAGTTTACTGAGTTTCCATTATGTGCGACGCAAGGGCAGTGACAAGAAATCTACATAGCCCGTGTTAATTCTTGTCATTACTCAAGACGTCACCAGCCTTCTCATGCCGTGCTCTTTCCTGAGGCCGTTCAGTGGGCTCGTGCTTTTTCTTGTCCCCTGGTCATTGACAACCCCCAAATTCTGAGTCCCAGCCTAGACTCATCCTCTGAAGTATAGGCTCGTTTAGTTACCAAACAAACAAATACAAACATATAAAAAATATGGTGCAAATATCTATTCTGTAATAAAACTCTGAAACTTGTCTGTGATCTAGGTCTCTCCCCCTTTTTTCTCCTCCTGTGTATAATAAATATATCAGTTAGGTCTGTCGATTCTATCTACAGAGTATTTCTCAAGGCCGTCCACTTTCTCTCCATTTCCACCACCACTGTTTATGCCAAGTCACATGGTGAATGATATACCACCTGGGACTCCCTTCAAGATGTCCCCAGATATTCAGCTATCAGCCCCCCCTTTGAGGACTGCCACCACTAAAGAGGGTCACGTCACCTAAGGGGATCCCGTCTCCCTTTTTGCAAGGCTGACCCACGTGATCCTATGAAATCCCACCCTCTTGGCCCATCCCAGCTCTGAATAGTCATCTACACTAGAGGGAATCTTCCAGAACAGGCTGAGATCTCCTCTTGCTCAGCCCTGTTTCTTCTTTCCCATCTGCAGGCGTGGATCCCAGGGGCACGCCTCAGTGTAAATCCTCTACTGCTAGCTCCGTCTCAACCTGTGGCGTTCTGTCCTCTCTCTCACCTGGGCCGAGACCAAATCTCTCCGAGCACTCCTGGTTCCACTTGTGCCCTGAGGTCCCCACACAGCACCCAATAAGCAACCCGCCTGGACCACTCTACCGTCACTCTTAGGACGGCCCCTTGTCTCCCTTAGCATGGCCTTCTTGAGCCTGGACTGCAGCGGTCCCTACTCCTTCTGCAGCGTCATATTTTGTCACTCTTCCCCTGTGTCTTTATGCCTTCAGATTCCTTGGATGTGCCACGCTCATTCCTGCCTTGGGGCTTTGTGCACATTTTTTTCCTTTTTCTGGAACATTCTTCTGTAGTTTTTATCTCAGCTAGGTAATTCTTAGTTATTCATAAAGTCTCAACTAGAAGCTACGAGGCCTTCCCGATCCCTGACAACATATCCACCCGTTACTATTCCTTAGGAGGGCTTTACTGGAGTTTGCAAACCTACGTTTATTCTTGTGATTACTCACTTAAAGTCTGTCTCCACCGAGAGGTGGGATCGGATCTACCTGTCGCACTAATGTGGTCAAAGTTCCTAGGTCACTTAGTAAACAAAAGTGTGTGCGTCGGTATTTAATAGTACTATAAAGAAAGCATTTTTATAGTGCTGTTAAATACCGACGCACACACTTTTGCTTACTTCTCACAACCGCCCCGTGCAGTAAGAACTGTTGCAAGTCTCCCGTCAAGGATAAGCGAGGCCACGAACACCGTGCTCCCTGCCGCCAGCTGAGATATCCAGGTTTCATCCCTGAAATTTAAGGACGTAGGCAAAGGGAGACTTACCTGGCAAAAGGGACTTTGCAAGTGTGAATAAGCTAAACATTTTGAGATGTGGAGATTTATCGAGGCTTACCCGCATCACCCCAGTGATCGCAAGGCCTTCTAGGGGGACGGAAGGCGAGAGAGGCGAGCAGACGCTGAGCTGCCGGCCCTGAAGATAGAGGAGGAGCCACAGGCCAAGGACGGTGGGCAGCCTCCAGAAGTGGGAAGGGCAAGGAAGCGGATTCTTCATTCGAACCCTCCGGGAGGAACACAAGCCCACAGAATCGTAAACATTGAGCATCTCAAATAGTAACTTAAATAACTCGTGTTGTTTTAAGCCGCTAAGTTTGTAGCAATCGATTCCAGCAGTCCTGGGAAAATAACACACTTCCCAAACCCTTCAGCTATGATAAGACAATTTAAACCCCCCCAAACCCAGGGCTACCTGACTCCAAAGCCCGTGCCTTTTAGATTATTGTTTTATTTCTAACCTAGTACGCTTCCGTTAGGAAAAGCCCATGCGCTGCTCTCACTATCAGCTGCAAGCTCTGCCTTTAAAGTCTGAGTACTATTTTTACATGATGTTGATCCGCTCCCCTTGAGCACTGCCCACAAGCACTCAGATGGATGTGACAGATTAAGGAGTTTCAAACTTGTTCAGCGGACAGGACCATCCACAGGGAGAACGTCGGTTTCTGTTTCCCGCAAATGCGACCCAAGCCCCAAGGTTGAACCTTTGCTGATGCTCTTTGCCAAGGTAACTCCGTGGATGCTCGGAGGGTCCTTTACTGTTGCCACTCTGTTCTTGCCACTCTGTTCTTGTATTTTCAGTGAATGATGTGGACAAACAGGATCTAAAAATTTATTTTTAAGGATTCACGAATTGTACTGCAATAAAAATAGGAGATAATGAAAGTTTTTTGTTTTGTTTTTTTTTTTAAAAAAAAGCAGGTTCTGGGCCAGATTATTTTCTTTTGGGCATCAGTTTTCCAGTATTTGTTCATCATCCAAAGAGACTGAATGTCTGTTTGCCAATAATAAATGCGCTTGATTAGTTTTGTGTCCAATAAAGAGATTTGAGAAAACAAAGGGAAAGAAGAAAGCTAACATTTATTAAGTGACTAGTATACCTAGTTTTCTACACGTAAGATCTAAATTACTCTTCATAACAATACTGGAGGTGGGTATTATTGACCTTCGTTTTCACCACAATCAGGGAAATGGACCCAGAGAAGCTAAACAGTCTGCCCATGGCAAATGGTGAAATCCGAATGCATTTCCAGATTTATTTTAATGTCCAAAATCTCTTCTGGGAAGGTTTTCCTGACCCTTTGTTGGATTCCTTGGCCCCTCCTGTTGTCATCATCAGTACCTACGGCTTATGTTTTAATATTAAAAAGTATGGCTTATTCTTATTTATATCTTCAGTACTTGGAAGAGTAGCTGGTACATAGTATATATTCAATAAATGCTTATTGAATTATTACATAAATACGTAAAGAAAAGTAAGCACATAGAATGCTGACTCCATGCACCAATTTACCTTCCCAGCAATTTCCTGAGGGTGAATAGAGTGTCGAGCCCAGCAGCCAGAGATCTGTACATTTTTGGTTTGAGAACAAAATTTTCACGC